CGGTAAATTTCAGTGAGGCAAAAACATCTCCAAGAAACAATAAAACCAAACAGAGAAAGCAGAGGAAAAATAGTTACCATTACACTCCAGAAAAGCCAGCGAGAACCCTGATGGAGTATTTGATAGATGAAAAAAAGAAAAGATCCAGCAGACGAACAATGACCAAATAGTTCTCAAAGGCCTTTAATTAGACTCCAAAGCTTTAACTTTCCCACTAGCATTTCAGCAAGCAAGAGCTTACAGGAAGTAGCCACAAAGTGATCACTTGCTTGCTGCTAACAGAGTCTGAAAATGGCAGAGCTGAAACGGTTCACAAAAAACGACTCAAAATAGACGACTCTTTTGACCGGTGAGCTTCTCTTTCAAGATACTGAGTGTTAAAATGTTTAGCTTTTGCAAATGGAGGAGCTTTGGCTTTTCGTTAAAAGAAGTAAAACCAGCTCGTGGGCTCTAATGGAAGAAGAAAAGTGGTAGACCCCTGAATGTCAAAGGGTCCAAAAGTGGACAATTGTTCTTTCACTCAACCAGAGGACGAGTGAGACGACGATAAATAGTGGCTCTGAGTCTGGGTCTATGTATAGCGTGCGTGAATAAAGATCATATTTTTAATGTCATAAAAATAACAAACACCAAATTTCCACATTCTCTTCTCTTGTTGTGAAGCAAGTGGGAGTTGGTGACCGCCCCTCCACTCTTGTCCCATACTATTTGCTACACATAGGTCTAAGACTAGTATGATATGTAGGGCTGGCTACATATGGAGCATTGCATGCCATTGCTATATATTTACAAATAAAAAAAACTGATTAATGACAATGCCATTGCCATTGCTACAAATAGGAGTTTGCAACTAAAATCACATTTCTTGGATAAAGAAAGAGATTACTCGATCTATTTATGTATCGCTCATGGGTAGATCAAATGATTAAAAGTATTTTAATTCACAATAGAGTTCCTATATTAACTTTATTAACAAATCCTCCATGCTATGTAAGAAATTGTGGTGTTGCATAAGTGCATACAACAAACCATACTTCCAATATTGTTAATGTCACATCAAATTGTTTCCTCTTTTACATTCTTTTCCAAAAATCAATTTCACATTGACTTTGTGCATCTAAAACTTGTGTAAGCAAGATGGAACATAGCATTACTCTTTGTGAATGGTGATCTGTCAATTCATTACATGGCAACAAGATGATTTATGAGTTCAACCCAAGAGTTCAAGCAAAGTCAGTGGCATGTTGTTTTAGGATGAAGTAGTTCTAAGCCCACTTGGAATTGTAGAAATACATAATTTGGGATAATGCTTGTGGATTGAAATTTATCTGAGCCAAGACAATTGTGAGGAAAAACCAAAAATGGGTTGTGTCCAATAATGACTTGGTCACGAATGTTTTGGTTTTAGAAGAAAAGCAAAGCTTCCCCATCAAAAGGGACGAAAGGCGAGAGATAAAGGAGACATAGGATGCTTGAAAGCAAAGAGGATTTGAGAGCTTTCTCTTTGTCTAAATCTCTTTTGAGAAAACAGTTGATGCCCAAACTGTCCTTCAGTGTCAAGGAGACTAACGTTTGTCACAGAATAACCGAATAAAATATGTTTTATATTATATGGGGCTTGACCTTTTCCAATTCCAATGGTCCAATACAAAAGAAAAAAGATGAATGGCAGCGTGGTAAGGTGGCCAGTCTCTCCCTTTTTGTCGTGATATTCACCTAATTGGGGAAAAGAAAAGGAAAAGGCTTCGTTTTTCACTGCAATGAGAGATACTCTTTTTTCGGTCTGAGGCTCTCAGAGCAATGAGAGAGACTTTTCTTTTCAATGGTAGAAACCTTTTTTAACTGAATTATATTGAGATTGCAGAAACCAAAAGCCTAGTATAACTTGCTTCAAAAAATAGCCTATTTCAAATATACAAACATTGATTCTGGCAATGCAACGTAGTTGGATTCTCATGTTCATCTGAATGAATTATCCTTTTCATGAAGGTAAATCTTAGTAAAACTTCAAAGAATAGCCTAGTATATTATGAGACTAAAAATAAGAGCTTTAGTCCAAAACCCAAGATATAAGGTAAGAAGGAAAATAAGAAGTTACGAGCATTTTCAAGAGTTTTGCTTCTATCTATCGTCTACGTGCATATGATGCGTACTTGCATCAACCAATGGCTAGTAGTCACTTTCATGGCTAATTAAATAGTAGCCACAAGCGTGTAGAAGACCGAATTGGTCTCCATCAATTTAAATTTTTTAGTACACAAGAAACAACCCCTATCATTAGGCTCATCAGTTGAAATGAAAACGATTTATATACAGTATGCTTTGCCTTATTAGGCTTGGTTTATTTAGCATCGGAAATCCTTTTCAATATTATCTTTGCGTAGGGATTCTTCATCTGGGGTTGAGGGTAGAGACAGAAGATATGGTTCCTTTTGGATCCATCTGACATTTTAAGCTCCATTTACTAGGGGTTGAAGCGTTTGGTTCCAATAAATAAACAAATGAAACTTCTATTTTATCTTATTATCAAAATGTTTATACAAGTCAGATGGATGGTTTCACAAAGCCAAAATTATTAGAAAACCAAGAAAAAAAATGATATATTATGTATTCAATTGCAGAGTAGGAGAATCTTCAAATTTTCAAATCAAAACTGACAGACATGCCTTCATGGAAATTTGGATTTATAAGTTGCATTAATGATATTCTTTAGTCGTGGACCACAAGAAACGACATCCTTGCTACAAGGATCAAAGAGAGTAGGACACAGAGTTCCATGCTACTGAGATCTCTCTCAGAAAGTTGTTAGTTTTCCAAAGAATCCAAACACAAGATTAGGTTAAGACAAGGTTTTGCCATTGATTTTAAATCAATAAAACGTCTGTCATATAGCTTAAAATCAAATTTTAAGAACTTGGGGGACATAAACAACACTAGCTGCAAGCCTGCAACATACACATATCAAGATGCAGAGCAAGAGATGTGCAGCATGAGTGGTAAAAGAAGACAAATTAGAAGTGGATGTGAAATGTATTTGAAATTCAAAAGAAGCTCATAAAATTATATGGAAACAGCAGCTTCTGAAGCAGGGTGGCTTTGTTTTTTGCTGGTTTCACTATATTTTCCTATTCTTTATATGAAAACGTTAAATAAAATCTAGAACATGTTCTGTTATCAGAACTTCATCATTTTGTTTGTGACCAAACAGATGTTCTCTCACTACTGATTCAATGCCCTTGAGCAATTTCTTGACTGATGGGCAAGTTCTGTTTTCATTCAACAATCATTCAACAAGCAGTCAATGCCCCACTTTGTGGGGTCTACACTACATATCCACATATAAAAAAGGAACAGTGCAATGATTCACATGGGAAAACTATTTGAAATATGGCTTGATTTTTATGCTTGGTCCTTGAAACTGAAAGAAAATGGGTAATCTTAAATAAGAAAAGGACTTCACAGAGGTGTTTTTTTGGGTAGAGAAATATGAGGTACCCAAATGTACAGAGCTAAAGATGAAGCAGAATCTGTGCTTCTTGATCAGAGGCTGCTGCTCATGCATCATCTATCACTGAGTGGGGACTGGCCAGTGAGTTGCCTCGAGTTGGCAAAAACTAGATCCGCATTAAAAAAATGTCCTTTAGCAAATTAGCTTAGCTATGAGGAGGGGAGAGAAAGAGACCATTTTGTGTAAAAATGGGGAAGAAGTTTTTTCTTTTCTTTTCTTTTTTCCTTCTTGTTTTTGGGTTGAATAAACTCGGTTTTGGGTTGGGGAAGGTGAAGAATCCCACAAGTGGGACAGAAAAGGAGAACTTTCCAAAGACATTTGGACAAGTGAGTCAATGCCAATCATATACAGCAAAAGGCATCTCTCTTTCTCTCCCTCCTAGTTTTGTCCCTCAACCCCATCTCTCTCTCTCTCTCTCTCTCTGGTGGATGGTCCAACGCAACACCAAAAGGGTTTGCCTATTTGATCTTCATGCAAATCATTTATGCTTAGAAAAACCCATATCCAATTATACTTCTCAATTTTAACAACATAAAAACTATATATCTTAAAAAAGTTTTGGTCATGAGAACTTTTAAAGTGCCACTACTAATAACATAACTACTATTATCTACCACTGGGGTCCAATACCAGCACCACCTCTCTTCTGCATCCTCTACATATCATAACGAACTTGAACTCCAAAAGGGTCCTTACCTTTCCTTTTGTTAGCAGGGGAGAAAATAAATTGATTTCTAATATTTTTGGTTGTGCTAAGCTTTCTACCCAAATGGGCTGGTCCATGCATCATTGATGGGTCTTCTGTTCTAATAGCCCATAGCTCCATTCACTGGGCTTTGGTTACAGAAGGTTTTTTTTTTTTTTAGCAGTGGTTACAGATGAAGATTTTAGAGAGATTTCATTGACAAATGAGAATTTTACGTGAAATCACACGCGGTTAACGCACAAGAACAAGACCAGAAAGAAAAAACAGAACAACAAAAAAAAGGCATAAACCCAGTGCACCAGCTCGTAAGTTTATAAATGCTCTCCCACACAGAGATTAGCAAACGTTTTTAAGGCACACACATACATTTGCCTCGAACACATTCGCCGCTATTGAAGTCATACCATACGCCATTCCTTGCTTGGAGACCGGACAAGGAGTCATCACCTCACACAACTTGTGCTTAGTGCTCTTATTAGGCTTAGCAGCATGATGACTCTTATTAGGCTTTGTTTTATTACCCTAAACTCAACTGCCATCGGTTCAATCTTTGCTAACATGCGTCATCCATAAATCAATTGAAAGAATTCTAGTATGTATAACAAGGAACGTTTTCTTATCAAATTTATGTTGTCACGCCGTGATTCTAAACCCTCAACATTCAAGAAATAATCACACTAATTATAGTCATGATTCGTACTTTAATATGTTTTTAAAAGAACATTTTTCGTGCATATATACGAGCTATATGGTTCGTGATTATGCATGCACAAGGCATCATTTTTTGCCACTTTCATTCAGGCGCCGCACATCCACATGCTTTTATATCTTTATTAGGTCTAAGGTCAAAGTGGTAAGGTTGAAAGATCAAATTAGCAAGGGGCAATGGAAAAATACCGGTAATCACTAGAAGGAGAATGAGGAGGAGGGCAAGTGAAAATAAATGCATGGAGCAGAGACTAATCTCTGATGTCGGTAGGTTGAAGCTTGCATTACATTACCCGCATTTGCGTTTAGGGTTTTACATATACAAATGGAATTTATTTCTGTTTGAAATGGCTGTGCAGATCTTCGAGTACAATGGGAGCGCCCTGATCGCAATGGTGGGCAAGAACTGCTTCGCCATTGCAAGCGATCGAAGGCTCGGTGTTCAGCTCCAGACAATCGCCACCGATTTCCAGAGAATTCATAGAGTTCACGATAGTCTCTTTATCGGCCTCTCTGGTCTCGCCACCGATGCTTAGACCCTGTATGTATATGCCCCTCTCACTTTGTTTAATAGAAAGACATTAACTTTATTAGTTCTGTGAAATTGGCTTTGTGGGTTGTGATTTTGGGTTGATGATGAAGGTTTCAGATGCTTTTGTTTCGGCACAAGCTGTACCAGCTTCGTGAAGATATGGACATAAAGCCTGAGACTTTTGCTTCTCTGCTATTCTTTATGAGAAAAGGTTTGAAATTTTCTTGAGCTATTTGATAATGAGGTGCTATTGAATATGTTAGCTAAATCTGAATGTTGAGGTCTGTACAATCATGCCTTTTTGTGATTTCGGTTTGGTCCATACTTCTGTGTTCTGTCTGTCAGCCTGTAATTGCTGGATTGGGAGATGAAGATAAGCCATTCTTCTGCACTATGGATTCAACTGAAGCCAAGTATGTTTGTTTTTTCTTTTCCCTTTCTTTTCCTACTTTTTCGCATTTTTAGAGCTGCTGGGATGGGATGCTGAGGACTTCAAACAAATTTCTTCAACCTTCCTAAGTAGAATACATATGCATGCTTACTCATATTTTGATTATATATGTTTATGTATCATTTCATATTGGTATTATTTGTCTTCTGTGTATGCAGGGAACCAGCCAAAGATTGTGTTGTTGCTGGCACTGCATCAGAGTCCCTTTATGGTTCTTGTGAGACAATGTTCAAGCCTGAGATGGTTTGTTGCTTTGTTCTTTCCACTGGGCGGTCAAGATTTGTTATTTGATCTGCTTACATTTTTTCGTATTTGAGATTTTCATTTTAATACACTTTAGATGTTATGGAAAATCATATAATTAACATTTGAGAACTTGAATCCATGCTGTCACTGGCCATGACTTTTTAAGTCTCTGTTATTATCACACTACTGATAGTAGCAGAGAAAGGGTCTATGGCATAGAAGTCAAGAAAAAACAAGCTGAGGGATCTCCTAAGTTTTACCTTCTTGGTCCTATATTGTCAGCTGCCAAGTGCTACCTGAACTAAACATATATGGAGATAAACAATTGACTTCCTTGCCAGATGTGCTTGAATAATAATTCGCAGGATTTTTTGGCGCTTAACTCGTGGTAGAATTTATTACGCGCTAATTAGTTAGACGTAATTGGGTTGGTGATTGCTGCTATTACTTCTAATTCTAAATTTGGTACTCCTGTTTATTTTCTTACTATTTGCAGGAACTGTAATAACAGTATATTTTCTAATTATTTCACTAGGGAACCAGAGGAATTCTTTGAGATCGTTTCTCAAGCATTGCTATCATCAGTAGATCGAGATTGTCTGAGTGGGTGGGGAGGCCATGTCTATGTTCTGTAAGCCTTTTCTTACTCCCTACTTTTTTCTTCTAAGCAATATCACTAACTGTGTTATAACTTATCCATAACAATAGGTAATGTACAGTAGAGGTGTTCCTCTTGGATGCATCATAAGATTTTAATTTTCTTCCTTTTCTTTCATTTTTTTTTTCTCATTCATACTTAGAATTAGGCAGGGTCTAATATTCTAATTTCATTGCTTCCATCGTCTAAGCTGCCAAAGATAGCGACTAGGCTATCTTCATAATATTTCACCCTCATTTTATGCCGGAGGTTATTACCACCATTTAAAATGTGCATTCACATTGCTGCAGAACACCAACTGAAGTGAAGAAGAGGATCTTGAAGGGCAGAATGGATTGACCTAGCTTCCGGCATTTACCCAATCCTTCTAAATTTCGTTCAGGCTGCTGCATTTTCTCCTCCTATGTATATTTATGCAGCTTTGACTTGAATGGGCAGCCATAAGCCTTCTTGGTGACCAAAGGCCCCCTTGTTATGTGGTGGCTAGAGTGTAGTGTAATTTAATCAAGAAACAGAGTTGGATAATCTGATTTATACTACACAATTTTGTTTTTGGTTATGAAAAAGACCTAACAACCCAAATTTATTTGTTTATGTTTTAAGCTTTGCGTCAGCTCAGCTAGTCTTTCTTTCTTCCTCTAGATATTGTGCAGCACTACTTGATGAATTATGTCCTGTTAACTCAAAAAATAGCAAGAACCAGCTTTAGAATAAAGCCATAAAGGGTTCCAAAAAGAATATATTAAAAATATAAAAAAAAACACCGCAGAAAAACGGAAAAATAAAGTGAAGAAACAACAACCACAACAAGGAGTCAGATGAGGCTTCAGAACTTGTCCTGCTGCAACCAGCTATTTGCAGAAGTTGAAAAGCAAAAACAAGAAATTGAAGAAGAAAGGTCGTACCTGCACTCATTTCTGTCTTCCACACCAAACAGAGCCACTGTAGATTGTACCTTCTTTGTAGTGTAGTTAGAGTTCACGACTCACGTGGGAAGCCGACACAGTTCAATCAATAACAAGTGAACTGCCCAATTGACTTAACTGAAAACACACACAAAAATTATGATATTAATAATAACACCTGTTTAGATGAAATTATTGTATTGGTATTGGAATACACTTGCCATCCGTTGGGATGAAGGAAATTGTGAGAATGTTCCACATTGGAAAGTTAAAAAACCTAGCAAGGGCTTATAAGGAGTTGGGCTCCTCCCCTCATTGCCAATTGGTTTTGGGGTGGAATCTTAACTTCCTTCATGGTATCAGAGCGGGTTAAATTACAGTAAAAACGAATTCCTACTCAATTGGAATTGCAAAATGACGATTCTTTTGGCGGAAATTAAACTCGAGAATCTCGATACCCAATTTCCATGATTTTTCCCATGCGTCATTTAGTAAGTTTCATGTTTAAATTGCCAAACAATGGAGATATCAATTTCTTCTCTTCAATTCCTGACTTTTAGCTAGATCTCGAGTTATTTTCTTTCATGAAAATGGAGGGTTGTATAATTTATTAGGATATACCCTCAATAATTAGATCTTAATTAATTTTAGACGTGTTATAACTTTCATGGAATTGTAACACTACTCCGTGTTGAAGTACACTTCATTGAATAAAATTTAGGTATGAACGAGATTTCGATATTTAGTTTGTTTATTTATGATCTCGTAATGAAGTGGTGTTATCGTGTTGTTAATAATTAACATATTCCCAAGTAATAAAAACGATGGATAGTTCATGTGAACTTTTTTAGTAGTATTTTTCTTTCCAGTGTTAAAAACATGTCTAAATTTAAATATCCATTACTAAAAAAATAGCGAGTTAGTTGGTTCATGCGTTGGCATCACTACATGACTATATGCGTTTTCTCAAATTGAAAGGAAACATATAATATAAATGCTAATTTGCATCCCTTTTGTCATATGCATGATCCTTGTATATATCTCGTGGTTAATTGTACACAACCCAAATTTTCGATTTCCTTCCCAAAAACGGAGAGACGTACATCGTTTAAACCCGAAAAGACCCACACGAAAAAACCAATATTTCAGTACAAAAGAAAGGTCAAAGGAGAGGAAGACTAAAAGAAAAGGTGTCATTTTAAATAATAAAAAAAGAAGAAAATTCATGAATCCAAATAGACCCACTTGAAATTCTTGATTTTAATCAACGATTGAAGGGTCGAACAAAGAAAAACACACCGGAATTCGCATCCATCACCTCACCCATCCAATCTTGGAAACAAAACAAAACAGAAAATTAAATAAAAAAAGGAAGAAAAAAAAAAGAGAGAAAAAGGAAAAAAAGATCTGCAAAATTCGAAAACCCAGTCAGATAAGATTGGCAGAGGGACCTCAAAAACCAAAAGAAAATAGTAATAAATAAATTTGTTTTTTGGTTATCTGTGAAGAGAGTAAAAAAAGCAAGCGTGCCACGTTACGGAAAACAGCCTACAGAAGCGCGCTTCCCAGACCCCCAAAAACCCCGAGTCTCTCTAAAATACCAAATTTTTTCTTTTTTTATTTGTTTTTCCTTTTTTAATTCATAAAAGCTCACATATACACACAAAAACTTAGAACAAGGGAAGCCCCGAAACCAAAACTTCCCCCAAACCCACAACCCAGTAGTCTCAGTCGGTCTTCTTTTCCAACCATAATCAAAAGAAAACCAGACCACTTCTTTGTAATTGTACCCCACCCCACACGTCTTTGTTTCTCTAATCTCCTTCTCATCTCTCCATAATTCCCTACCATTAAACTACCCATCTATCTATCTTTTGTATTTTCTTTCTTTTTTTCGGTTTTTTAGGCCACGGGGACCTGCACATCTATTATCACTATAGCCAAGATTTGCCAGATTGAGAGAGATAGATAGGTTGTAGCTACCAAAAAACCCAAACCCATTATTAAAAAAAAGGGCACAACACCAAAAGGTTCCAACTTGAAAACCCATCACACACATAACCCACAAAATTTTTTCACCCAATCTCACAACCCAATTGGGAAAAAGGTGATCTTCGAGCTAAACTCCCCCTTCTTTAAAGGCAAGGTACATTACTCTGCCACTCCTCGCATGTATCTAATCTCTTATCTTCTCTAGTCTCTCTGTAATTTTGGCTGAGGCATGCCATGCCCATCTATGTATGTCACATTTTTTTTTCTTTGTTTCTTTCTTTTCTCTTGCAGTCAATTTTTGCTCACTTATGCTCACCACCCCAACCCAAGCCAGCCCAAACCCTCTTCTTCTACAATATTTTGACACCACCTTTTTAAACACAAACATGGTAGGAAAATAAAGGCACGAACTTGAACCTTCTTCTTCTTCGAATGTACTTTTTAATTGGTTCTTTTTTTTTGTTTTTTCTTTAAAGAGCATGTATATGTTATGTTTGGTACATCATTTTGGTTTCATTTTTGATCTGTACCCACTTGTGCATGTTCCCGATCCGTACATGGGCCTGTCTGTTGCGGATTTATCTAGGGTTTTTCATGATAATGTTACCAATTAATGGTAAAGTCTATGGCTTTAAACAATTTTAAGTACTGGGTTTAGTGAATTAGGGTTTGTTCTTTAGATATGGGTCAATTTCACATGCTGAGTTCGTTGGTTGTAATTAAAGTGTGATGCAGCTTCTTTCTGCTTGTGTTAGGCAAGTTTATAGGCAGTGTTTTGCAGTCAGATTTTGGGTGAGATTATTTTGGAGAAACTGCGGTAGTATAGATGTACAGAGATGTAAGGAACTGGGGCTCATTGGTTGTTGATTTTATGTCACATAGTATTCTACGCAGATTGTTGTGTATTACCGCTTCTGACTTGAGGATCATCATTGTAATGCCTTTTAGTTATATTATATCGGTTACCAATTTTTAGTACCTCTTGCTCTGTTTTAATGTGTATATTTCTAGAAGTAAAAGGTTTTATGTATATTTAATGCAAAGATTCAATCTTTTTCTTGCAAACTTCATTTTAATTATAATAAATGGATATCTGAACGCAGTTTTCTTTTTGTACCCCTAGAATATGCTTCTGCTGGAAAATTTATTTTTAAGACAACTGGAGCTTTTTGAATGGGTAATTCTGTTACTATTGTAGAATCATATATTTATTATGAAAATTTCCTTTCTTTATCTTTTAATCTTAAAGAAGAAGAATATAATATTATGCCATTTTACTAGATATAACAATTAAGTAACTTTTTTTTGTTTTTTTGAAATTAAGAACATGGGATAAGATAGAAAGAAATGCAAAAAAGAAAAAAAAGAAGTTTGCTAGTTTCTGGAGATTGCTTGCTAGTTGAATGAAGTTATTATTACATAAAAAATGAATGCAGCATATGACATCAAACTTAGTTTCCTAATGGAATGTCATGTCAAGATACAGTTAAGTTAAGTTCATTGATTCAACTTTATTCGGTCTTCTATACCTGGATTGATATATCTGAAAGTTCATGTAATTTCTTTTTGAAACTATAACCTTGAGCCTAAATGGATTAAGCTAGACAGTTGCCTAATATGTGGTTCAAATTGATTCTGCGCTGTGTTTTTTCACAGTTTTTCCCTAATATGCGGTTCTTTTGCAGTTATAGCATTTGCCATCTAGATGGAAAATCTAATTTTCTTTATTCTGCCCCTCTACCTCATGCCTCTGCTTAATTTTTTGGTTGCTCTCGGTGACATGATTGCTGTCTTTCTTTGAATGCTATCCTGATATGTAACTATTCATTATGCTATATATTGTCAGTCCAAGTGAGGCCATTGTAGTTTCTCAGCATTGTCGTAGAGGTTTTTCCTTTGATCATATTTGTAGACTTACATATACACATGTATGCACACATATGCTCATTATGGCTGATGCAGCGTTTTATTTTTCATCAGTTCATAAGAAGTATATTTAAGGTTTTTTGTTTTGAGAGTTGGTATGTTATAGAATACATTCACTTGACTCTTCATCAACTGGACCTTTGTTTGAACAGAGAGGTGGGTGGGCAAATAATCAGTAATAACATATGCATCAGATGGCACCACTATTTTTAGTGTAAGATCATGGAAGTGCTCCCTTGCTCCAGCGTTCAGTGTGTTGGACAATCTGATTGCCCTCAACATAGTTCAGCAACAACTTCTGTCTATGATGGAGAATCCAACTGCCTTGAACATGAGAAGCAAGTACATGTGGCAGATGGCAGAGTAGATGACTTATTACCAAATGTGGAAGGGCCTCAACTAGTAAGACAAGGTCAAGTTCAAGAGGCAGTTGATGAATTGCATACTTCAGAAGGATGTCAAAATGGAGCTTCATGTCTTGATAGTCAAATGGAGGGCCAAAAGTCATCCAGTATATCACATGATTTTGACGATGATGACATAAATGAACAGAATTACTGCACAGAACCTTGCCTAACCTCTGACAATGGTCATCTGATTGTAGATAGCAGGGAAAGTGAATTGCCAAACAACAGAAGGGAAGGAGAGTCATATCTTTCAGAGTCTACATGGCTAGAAAGCGATGAATCTGTGGCATTGTGGGTCAAGGTAACTTTTATTTCTTTCACGTTCAAATCTTTACTTTGTTATCACAACCTA